GGAACCCCCGCCTGTGTCCGCAAGCCACTGATAGCGATTCAGGGGCATTCCTTTCTTGTCACTTGTGGCGACTTCAACATCAAATTACTTTTTGGTAATTGCCGAAAATAGGTCTCTTTTGCCAGGAGTTCATTCATTAGAATTATATTATTAATATTATTATTATGAAGAACTGTCGAAATATATGTTCACTTGTTTTGATATAATATAACCAATCTAGTGTCGAGATGTCAAATTTAGATTTCGTGTTAAATAGGGTGGCCCCGGCATTATAATGATTAGCCTACTGGGTTTACCCCCCTTGGAGAGAAAGAGTTAAAAATTCACTTGACTGCACCCAAGGTGTCTCGGGAAATATCGACAGACAGAGTACTGCCATTACAACAGCCACTCAGTTTTGAGTTTTCTATTTTTACTTTCTACTATTACCCAATGTATTTTGGGGTTGTGGTTGTTCTCCACCAGTATGTTACTGCTGGGTTTTTTTCTTTTATGAGTAAATTAATTGAGAATTAAGTTACATCCCCTGATAACTGATGAATAAAATTTCAATTTTTTTCCAGACTACCGAAAACACATTTTGCTCGAACGAACCTCACAATATTTTCAAACTGATCTATCCATATATTTGTAAATGGGCCAGGTCTGATCCTTGACTCTTTTTTGGTGCAGAAGAAGATGACAGCGGTGCTGACCCAAGTTATGCAAAGGGTTCAGAGTTTGTAGAGGCTAGTAGAGGGCTGTAATGAGTGACAGTTAAGTGATTCCATCCATGATTTTTTCAGGTTCAGGACAGAATTATTTTTCCCTATTCAGTTTTTGACCTGGGGTGCATCTAAAAATGCATTACTGTGAAGCTGTAATTTACTCTAATTAATATGTATTGTCCCATACCAAACTGATGTGAATCAATAGAGGAATCTATCAATAACAATTACCTTTAATCTGTAAGCATCGTATTTTCCCTAAGACTAAAACGAATGAGGGGGAAAAAATTGCTCAACACCTCTTTGAAAATTTCAACTTACCTCATTTTTTCAACTCTACAAGTCCTTATAATTCATAGGAATCAACACGAAATTGTAGCAATATCACCTAAGCATACATTTATGCAAGAATTTCACAAATTTAGTTGATAATCTATCTTTCCATGAAGGGCCTTTTTATTATACCAGTCTCTGTGTTGTTTACCCTTACATAGCAATAACCCAACAACGATTTTTGCAAGAATTTCGCGGAGTTTCCATCGATTTTGGCGCTCAGAGATTGAGGTCAGGCTTGTTTACATGTTCTACTTTTCCTTTCAACAACCTAAAAAGTAGGAACTATGTTAAAAAGTGCACATTTGTTTTAGATTTTGCTTGGATTTTGTTGAGCCACTCACAGCGGTTGAATGGCGGTCTAGTAGCGGAAAAACCCACAGCCGCTGTCTGCGGCCGAATGGACAGAGTCAGTTAATTTACCAATCTAGATCTCGGCCTAATAATTTCTTCTTTTTTTTTCAAAGTTTTGACACATTTGCATAAGATCGTTAAAAAAATAGCCACTGAAGATATCTTTAAAATTTCTTTTGTTTTTTGCAGTGTGCAGTAAGTTTCATTGCCTTTTTGTTTGCTAATTTTCATGGTTGGGTGGCGAAAAATAAGTTCACAATGATTTTGTGAGATTGGTGCTGAATCGCCTGACTTTCATCATATCTTGAGTCATAAAGTGGCCAGTGGAGAGTGAGTTTGTCTGACTTCTGTGTGCATGGCTGCGGGAGTAAAAGTATGCCAAAATCTCAAAGTTGTCAGTGCTAGCGAACAAGAAATGATCAGAAATACATGAAATTGTCTTTGACATGCCTGTTGTTAATCCATTGTTATAAGTTAAAGAGAAACAACACTGTTGAGTGTTGTTGTGTTGTGTCATTTACTTGACAAAATGTTTGGGTCAGAGTGTTACAAATTTTTTTTCTGTACAATCCATGTAAATATTAGAAGACTTCAAAATACATCATATGGCAGCTGTTGCAAGATTGGGCTGTACAGGATTACAAGGTGATTAGAAAATGTATAGAAAATTGACACTCACTTTTGTTTGGCAATAGGGATTACTATATTAAATATATCTAATCTGCACCTTCAGATTTTGACTCATGGAAGTGTAGATTTTTTTAAGCAATCAAAGACAAAAAGGTGCTTGAGATTCTTTCCCACTTTTTAGTAGGCCTATACAGTGAATGGGGAGAAGACAGAAGATACAGTCAAACCTGTTCTCTAATGAAGGGCCACCTGTATTGAATAAAAGACAATCACCTACAAACCACTGCTTCCCATTTTCTCCGATATTGTTACTCTCTATAATGATATATAGACACTGTAAGACAGCCACCTGTCTAATACAGCCACTTTTCTCCTTTGACAATGGGTGTCCGTCTTAGTTTTGACTACAGTTGCAACACTTGTTAGTTTTAAAAAGACATAGGTGTTCTGGTTGCATGTTGAAAGGACTGGCCGGCAATTTCACAATTTTTAGATCACTAGTTGAGGTAAAGTGAAAAAATTAACTATTAAAGGCATTGTCATTGAAAGGTAAAATATTTCATCTGATGAAAGTTCAGAAGTCATGCACAAGTCACATTATAATGTTTTATACTTGAATATATTAGCTATCTATTTCTTGCCCTTGCTTTGCCTTGTGACATTAGAGAGATATTGTTTTATCATTTGGAGCTTGAGATTCGACTGACCTGGACACTGGACTGGAATATCTTCCGCTGGTTAGAGTGTCGTGATTATCGAACCTGGAAAGTTAAAGGATCTTTTTGTTGATAATTAAAAACCTCTTTTTTGTACGTTTCAGGGGCTGGCAAGGTTACTTGGCTTATGGATGCCAAAATTTGGTCACTGTGATTGAGCCAAAGTCTGTACAGGTATTTTGAAGTTTTACAAGTTCTATTACAGCCTACTCAGACAGTCATGTTAATTTTACTAAAGCCCTTGTTACATTAGCTCAAATGGTAAAAGCATTTTTCTGAAGATAATTTCGAAAGTAAAGGTTTTATAACTTTTTATATGTAGTTTTTATTTGCTTTGTATTGTTTGGTTGCTTTTTTTGGTTTGTTTTTGTTGGGGTTTTTTTTGTTTTTGTTCCTTATAAATGTTACTTTTTATATTTTGTTATTAAGATTTTGATGTCTTCTGCAGGTGATTCAAGTGCTGGACAAGCACAAAGGAGTAGTGACCCAAGTAAGTATGTTTTCTTTTTACTGTGTACTTTATGTCTTTATGAAGTAGTATGTCGCTCTCAGTTAAGTATTAACTCTTTAGCAAATTCTTTCTGCAGCCATCGTGTAGCTCCCTGTAGTATACTTTGGAGAGCCAGGTTTGACAACAGTGTTTTCATTTTATGTCAGAGTGCAATGAAAATGCGGAATGATTTACAGATTGATTGGTAACACTCGGATAAACAATGGGACTTGAACCCCAGGAAGGTAATAAGCAGCACCGAAAACTTGTGTTTAGTGAAATGCTGGTTCATTTCTTCTATTTTACCCTTTTTCGGGATGAATGAAATGTGGGAGTAGTTGGTTGGGGGTGGGGAAGAAGTGAGAGATGTGACTTATAGAAAAAATAATTCAAGAATGGGATTGACAAAAATGGAAATGATGAGAACTTACAAGATAACATTATATTCCAGCAAATCCAGCATAAGTGTATTGAAGAAAAGCTTGTCAACACTTACTGCCACTATTAAGGAGTGTCCCCGACTTGAGTTTCTAAATCCCATTTTTCAGGTCAAATGGGCGCACGAGCAGTATCATCATGACTTGAATTCTCCATACACACTCCGCCTTGCATCATCAGACACCCATGGGCACATTGTGGTGTGGGATGTTGGACTTGGCGTTGTACGGTCAGAGTTCATCGATGGAAACAAGCCAGTACTGGGTATGTTTTAAATGCACTTTGGTATTTTCTTAACAGCTGTAATTCATTTAGCCTAATGAACCTTGGGGCCTCCTGATCTAACATGACTCGCACTCCTGAGCACCTTTTGGTTGACTGATAGGTTTACACCACTGTGTATTCAGTGTATTATAGGTTTGAAAAAAGTGCAGCACACTCAGGCATGCTCTCTATTCAACAGCTTTATGTCATATTCAGCTTTTTGTGGATTTTTCGTTTGTTGCACTTCTCATCAAGATGGGAAGTGGTTCTGTAAAGTGCTCACTTATGTGCCTGCACCCCTTTTACTAGTTTATAAAAAAACACTGCAAAAATAATTTCCTTTTCTAGTCATTTGGCAGAATACATTATACGAGGTTTGAACTGATGAGGAAAAGCCAGAGATCAAGGAAAAATTACCGTGCTTATATTTGAACATGTTCTTCGCAGACTTGTACTTTGTTTTATATTAGAAAGAAAGAGAGGGCTGGGGTGGGGTGTCTGGATGGAGTTAAAAATTATGAAGTGGCTTAGTCAGAGAATACAAAATACTCATTCAAAATATTATACATGTATAGATTTTCTTTCTATTTTAGTAAAAAGTAAAGATAATTACAAGAACCAAATTGTGTTACCCTCCTGTTTCTTTTCTCCAATATTTAATTTTTTTGAAAAGGGAAGTTCAACTTCGTTTTTCCATGTGACGTAGTCACATTACAATGGCATGTTTTTTTCCCCAATTATAGCAGACGATCCCAGGTGCAAAGGCTTATGTTTTCACATATTTAAGATAATTTCTTTTTCTTTCAGGTATGCAATGGCTAAGCAACCAGGATGCTTGCCGTGACCTGCTTGTTTGTCTTCATCCTCCATACTCTCTCATTTTGTGGAATGCAGACACAGGGACAAAGCTGTGGAAAAAATCATACACAGAAACATTGCTCAGCTTTACATTTGATCCATTCAACAGTCGCAATCTTGCCTGTAAGTTCTTTTGTGATCTGTCTGGTGCTGAGAAAAATGTACTTTGTGAATTGGGCAAAAGATTTCAGCTTGGTTATGATGGTTGTTTTCCCATATTGTACACTCACAGACACACAAGTCAATCCCACACACACAAACATGCGCACATGCTCACGTTCACACATACACACACAAACACATGCACGCGCACACTCACACATACACACACACACACACAAACATGCACACATACACACACAGACATATTAGTGCTTTGGGTACTGTTTATGATTTGACAAATTATTTTACCTTTGTTTTTAACCTTTAGTTAGAATTCATTTGGTTTTTTTCTCTACTCTCTGTTCAATCTTAGCATTCTTCTAACCTGCTGTTTGGCAAGAACATGCCATTTTGCATTAAATACAGCAATATACTACAACTGTAATATAAGCAGTCCTCAAAGGATTTGGAAAAAAGTTCAGAAAAAGCATGCTTGAATCCAGTCATCCTGCATCCCATTTCCTTAACATGGAGTGAATCCACTCATGATGTGCCAAGTTTATTATGTTGTTTTATTGGTATTTGTTTCCCTATTTTTCACTTTACAGTCTTGGGTCAAGACTGCATCATATTCATCTCTGACTTCACCATCAACAAGACACCATCCAGCAATGGAAAGAAGTTTTACATCTCCAACCCAAGTCAAGGTTTGTAAACATTTCCTCCAGAAGTGTGTTCTGAGCTAACTGTATTCATTTAGTTTTGTACAGGATCATACTCGGTTTTGATTTTTTAAAGTCGCTACTATTATTATTATCGGGGGTTTTTTTTAAACTTCTTGCACATTCCTGAGCACTGTAACATTTTACTGAAAAACGCTTGTTGATTTTGTCTGTGAATGAAGAAAGAGAGTATTTAAAAGCATTGGTTCTGTCTGCACAATAAAAGTATGGATGACTGGTACACTTTGATTTTTTCTATAAAAAGATTGATGTAAATGTTTATTGATACTCTTAAAGTTAGAACATCAATGATGATTTTGGCAGCGAAAGACATGACCATGTTTATTTACTTGTTTCTTGTGTATAGTGTCAAGCATGTCAAGATCCTCAAGTTCCAACAGTTTGGAGCGAAAGACATCGACGTCCTCCGCTTCTTCTTCTAAGAATCTGGCCAAAAGAATGAGCAGAATATTGGTTGGAGAGAGTAAGCCAAAGTGAGGGAATTTGATATTTTAATTTAACTCATCTTTTATCTTCAAGACATTGAAAAGATAATTAAGACATGTAAGTTATTTGACTTATAAACATTTTTTGTTGGAATTGATTTGTACATAATATGTGTTATTTCATCAATTTGATTTTCATGTCCTTGGAGGAAGCTTTTGTTATCTTGACATTTGTGGGATTTTTTTAGGCTTACCTTTGTATACACCAATGTTGTTTAGCAATGCCAATGAAAATTTGAATTTTCACTTTAGCCCTTTTTTATTTGGTACCTAAGAAAGAATGTTCAATTCTAAGAATTATGCTTCTTGAATTTTAAGAATCGGTTCATAAATAAAAAAATTATGGGGTTTGTCAGCAAAATATGGATGACCCACATATAGGAAAATACTCCTAAAAAGTGGACCACGCAGTAGCAGATTCTGTAATAAAATCGACGATATCTCGATAACTAATCAGAGTGTTAGAGAGAAACTTGGCTACCCGATGTGTTTTTGGGTGTAGAAATCATTTCTGCAGTCAGATTCACTACACATTTCGTAGTTATTTTGTTATAATTAAAATTTTTGTGTACATATTACGATTTTGCGAAAAAGGGGTGTCGGGTTGAGTCCATTTTATTTATAGCATCGTATCACAACTTGGGATCTTTAAGAATATATGTCGGCAGCGTGACTAAATAATTGCAAAGCTTTTTATGATGACTTTAGACCATGCCAACCGTAAAAGATAAGTTAATTCAATCTAGCATGCCGTACAATTAAAAATTCTTTTTCCCCTTTGAGACGCGAACACCCCGAGACGAGATAACCTCGCCTCGGAATACCCCCATTGGGATGTTACAGGGGAATACAGAGAAAAACAACCGGATGCGCGCGCCTGCCATTGCCCTATTTCAAGTGACCAATGAACGGGCCCGGAATAGTCATGCGGGGATTTGTAGGTAACATACATTTGCCGCGAGCGTGAGGGAAAAATTGCCGGTCTACGTGCGAAGCTGATTTGGATAGGAGGGTAGTCGTGCATTTATGATCGGGTCTAAACAACTACTTGACACAGAACTTTCAAATTTGAGCACACTATAGAGGATAGATAGATCTATTACCATCTCAGCGTTGAAATTCAAACTCCTTATAGTTTTCGGTGTACACGATACGAAAGTGTTCCCGACACCAAAAGTATAGGTTAATTTATGTGTACGAACTTCAACGTCCACATATCATTAGTTTGCCCTATTTTCTGATTGGTTGCCGAGTTTCATTCGGATTGGTTCGGAAATAGAGCAGACCGAGGTTGACAAAGTTAGTCACCTACGCTTCGGCCGCAAAATCGCCCGCAAACAGGGACCAAATTTTCGCCGCACGGGAAAGCCCGATTGGCATTGCTATGTTGTTATTTTTTTAAATCTGAGTTCAGTTCTCATGACTTAAAGCAGGGTCAAATAGTGACATTTTTTTTCTTTCATTTGTGATACCAGAACTTCTCCTGATGAAGAAGCTGTGACACTGAACGAATGCCTTCAGCTGTGCTTCCATCGATCTTGTCGCCACCATCTGATGCTTCTTTATCCAAGAGAAATGCTCATTTTAGATTTGGAAATCAACCAGACTGTGGGCATCATTGCCATAGATCGCTCAAGCTCCTCCTTTACTCAGGTGAGAAATGTCACAACAGTTACACAAAAGTGATATTTTCTTCACACTGTACTACATTTTGGAAAATATTGTTTTCTTTACCTCACTTCTTTTTTATCCAATAAATTTTCTTGAGTTCAAAGAAACGAATGTGATGATTAACATGTCCTAGGTGAAAAATAGTGATATGAGTAGGCGTTGGGGCCCTGAGGGGCCTAATTTTTCTTTTTCCCTCAAAGGTTTTCTGACAGATGCTTAGATTAAGTCGTTATTATTCTACATCGTGATGTTCCTTAAAATCTGTATAATTGACAGCTTTCTTATCTCTTTAATCTCTGATAAACAGGTTATACCCTGCTGGCAGCGTGATGTTCTCATGTGTTTACATGAAAATGGCAGTGTGTCTGTGAGAGTGAGACGCAGAAATAATTCTGTTGCCACGCCTGCCCCAGAGGGACATGGAGCCTTTGGTATGATCACACACTGACAACCTTAAAACAGTTCTTTTGATTTGTGAATTTAAGCTCTGATTGTTGCAGTGATGGTTTTCTAGTATGATAAATGTAGGGAAGCGTGTAAAACTTATGGTTTAAAGATGATTTGTACTTTATTCTTAAAGAATCAATGTTGTGAGTTAGACCATTTGACTTAATTATTTTCACATGTATGTTGAAGTCATTATGAAGAGTTGAACAGTGTTTTCACCTCAGTTTCCTGAATTTCTTCAGATGACACACCTACACAGCTGTCGATGGAAGTGGCCTATGACCTCCGGTGTCAATCGGATCCACTGAGGGTGACAAGGCACAACAAGCTGTACGGGGCAAGCCTCTGCCCTGTGTCGGAGAAGGCTGTTGCCCTGATCATGAGTGACAGCCGCATCCTTTTGTGGGAACTGACATCTTCACAGGTTAGCAACAATTGTAGCAACGAAACGGCTACTATTTTGTCATAATGGTGAAAATGCTTCTCAGAGTACCAATTCATTAAGGATTTTACAGCATTTATCATACTAAATGAAGTATCTTTTTGATCATATCGCAGCTGTTACTTTTTATTTTAATAATAACATAACATTAAGAAAGTTAGCAGCTTCTGACGTCAGTTAGTTTGAGATGTAAAAATGTCGGATTTAAGATATACTTTTTGCCCCTGTTGTATGTGTTTGTAGTTCACTTACTTAAAAATTGTCTACTTTGTATTTTTCTGTTCCCCATCTCTCACTCTGCCGTTTAACAGAGTAATGTCAGCGACCATGGAGCCATGTCCCCGCTGTTAAGTCCAGGTTGGGATGTGAAAGCACCTACCCCGTCAGTCTCAACAGCTTTCCCAGTGACATCTGACATGGCACATCCCCAGTTTGCTTTGGCAGACACTATTGCCACGTCACAGGTAAAATGAGAACAAAAATAAGCAGATGAAGGTATCCAGTATTTTCATGCTTCTTTAATAGTCCAGTTGTAATGTAGTTTCAAATTCTTTGAATTTGGTGAAAAAAAGTCCAGTGGTTCGCTATACGAAATGTCCTTGAAGTATTGTAGTAATAACAGTTTTGTACACTGTGTTTGGTACTGTGCAGTTGAGGATATGATACAGCTTTGAGAATTGTAGAATGAGACCAATCTTTTAAAACTATAATATTTACTCTGGTATTGCATAGCAACTGGAACTTTTATGGTGTCAGACATCATTCCATTCTTTAGTAGAATTCAAAAGAAAATTTTGTACCTGATACTTTCTGCGATACGCAGTCTCCTTACATGTTCTTGAAGAGAAGAGCAGTGAGATCCCTAATATTGCTTGAAATTTTCTCCATCCTTGAACTTATGAAACAATAATGTTTTATGTGCATTTTCAAACCTTTCATGCCCTTTAGTTGTAGTGGGAGCGCAATAGAGACTTATTATTCACCTTGGATATTCAGCAACATACTTTGTTTCATTTTAATAGTTTCTTGAAATACCTTTTAGTTTAAAGAACAAAATTTACTACAGTTCTTCAATGTAATGTTAACAAAATTGTGTTATTTTCTCCAAGTAGTGAAATAAAAATGCTATTAGATAATAATTTATTTTTTTTCATTGGAAAAGAAATAATTTGGTCATTTACAATATATTCTTCAGTTATCTTCACTGAGTTTTTATTTGTTTGTTTTTTCTTCAGACTGTGGACACCTCTGCTACACCATTTGGCCATTCTGTTCAACTGAAATTCCTTCTCAACGGACTTTTAAGTGGAATTGCTGCCCATGTGACTGTGTTAAGGATGTGCCCACCACTCACCAACAAAAATATTGATATTTACCAACCTCTCATGGCTTTAGGTATGTTCTTTTATTTTGTGTCACAGTCTTTTGTTGAAAACATGAGTAAAATGTCTGTACTACTCTTGAGTAAGTGCCGAGGGGGGGGGGGGGGGGGGGGGTGTCGAGGATCAACATGACCTGATGTATTCTTTTATCCTTTAAATAAATGAATTTTCCATTAACTCAAAAACCAGCTCCCGATATATTTTATTCCCACCAGTGACCTGTTGCCTATTTATATGTGCCGCCATCACACACATTGATACGAACACTGCACTTGTCACTTGCCTTCTATGTTTTTCAGGAACCCACTCAGGAACAGTGCAAATCGTTAACGCTTCCAGTGGCCAGGTGGATAGAGAGTACAGTCTCCACTCTAGCCCTGTCAGGTAAAGAAGTTCTGAGAGATGCAGATCAAAATGTGTAATATTGAGGACTCAGATTTGAAATCATGAAAAGTTGTCATTCAGTAGAGGAAATGATACAGTCTTAAGTAATGTTAGCAGAATGTCGATGACATTGAAAACAATAACTGTCTAGAATTAATTTACTTTTGTTTTTGTTTTCTTTTTTCTTAGAGGGGTGGGGGGAAAGACTTCTAATTCAAATTCTGGTGCTGATTGTTTCAGAGGATCTTTTATTAAAAAGAGTATATTTTCCGAGTTAAATGATCTACTTGTCAAAGAAAGTATGTGAATATGAATGGGTTTGTTGAGATGTTCTTTGTAAATAAATTGTTGTTTTTCTTGAATTTTTCACTACTCTCATTTCTACACATTTTTTTTTCTATTTACAGGGGCATCGAATGGTCAGGACTGAAGACATTTATATCGTATGCTTACCCGAATCCTGGACCAACAAACCTTGTGAAGAATGAACTGTTTTTGTTGGATATAACTTCAGGTAAAGAGCAGGCATTGTTTTGACAAACTGGCTAAAGCTTTGGACCATAAGGTGCAAACAATAAAAATTTTTGTAGATATCCTTAATAGGGTTTTTAATGCATTTATAATTTTGTGTTGTTTAAAGTTGTACCATTGATTTCTCTCTTATGATATGTTCTTTAATATTGAAGTGAAGTTTTCCATACTGATCAATTTAAAGTATCTTTAAAGTACAGAAAGTTGTGAAAAGAAGAAAAAATGTTCTCCCTCCCCCCTCACGAAAAAAACCCCAGTACAGATGTAACAGAATCAGCCTTCATCACTTGCACATATTTTTTTAGATATCTGTTTGTGTGAATGAAGTCGAGTTGTAGTATACATTGTCACTGCTGCGGTTTTCAATCCAATAACTTAACCGTTAGGGTCAATTTGTACAGCTTGCTGATGAAATACTTCTTATTATGAGCTGATGGTTGTGATCTCTTCACATCTGTAGGAAAACAAGAGCAGTTGAGAACCAACAGAGAGGTCGAGTCCCCAATAGAGATGCTTGCCATTTCCCATCTGAAGTAAGCTATTTTATCCGCATTTATGAAAACATATGCAACTGGATAAACATGTTTTTTTGTAACTGGGTTCTACGGTAGATTCAAAAGTACATCTTTGTGGTAGACATTTTACTTTTGCCCATAGTGTGGAACTTTTAAAAGTCTTTGTCACTTCCTGCATGGTGTCCACATACAGTAGAAACAGTGCAAGATGGCCACCCTCTTTAGAGGAAAAAAAGTTGCCTTAACCCTATCCGTACACCCTGGGGTCATTTTGTACCCCCTGGGTTGTATTCTTCACATTTTAGAATACTTCTAGTACGAAGATCTCTTTGAAATTTCAGTATTTCTCAAAAAATCATTTTGACAGACTGCTATGCTAAGCGTACGGATCGAATTAATGAGTAATATTCCTCTTTGAAAGCGGTGGCTCAGAGTTCCCCACGTAGTATGGATACGATAGTAAAACACGACGTATGGATAGAGTTAATAAGTTGAACATCTTTAATAGTGTCATTTTAATATAGACTAAATGCAAGGGAGAAAGTGGGAAGTTGTCATTTTTACATGCAATTGTCTTGGAGAAGTGGTGGTTAGAGTAGGTTCAACTGTATGATCAAAAAGTTTCTCTTGTTACAATTTATTATAAATGACTGATTAATCTTTTTTCTCCTCCTTTTTCTCAGGCAGTACTTTGTCCTGCTGTTCAAGGACAAGCCTTTAGAATTGTGGGACCTGAGATCCCAGGCGATCATAAGAGAGTTGCCACGACAGTTTCCTCGTCCTACTACAGTTGTAAGTACCTACGGGCTCATCAAAGGCACTTTGCAACTTGTTTTTATTTCTTTTTCTTCAAGGCACAAAAAGGTAATTTCAAAGTTTGAATGTTTTGGCGTGTGGTTGAAATAATGAAAGAGGAAAGACATTTTTTAATGACAAAAACAATACAAACATAAATGTACATCTGGGCCTAGATGTTTATGTACATATTATCTTTAGATTAGTTGATGCAACACTTGCCGCTGTCCAGGTGCACAGTAAATTATATCTTTTTATCCCTGCCCCTCAGAACAGTCATGTGTGGCTTTCAGTTAATTGACTCAGTTTTGGTCTATTGCTTTCTCAAGTGTAGCATTAAGGATAATCATTGTTGATACTTCTCTATTTTTGTTATTCTTTTTAAGCATTTTATTGTTGTTTGAAGAAAGAATATGGACCAGATTTTTTTTTGTATTGGTGACTATTTCATGAGAAAAATTGTTTCTTTTTTAAAGAAACTGCTGTAGCTTATTGCTAAACAGTTTTTTCTTTGACCCTTATACTAATTGTATAGGGTTAACGGTAATTGGTTGAGGGCCAGGGAGGATCAATTCATAAAGGTATAATAATATTCTCTGTTTTCAGGTATGGTCTCCAAGTCACAGCTTAAAGACATTGCGAAAGAAGTTGCTTGACTACGGTGATGAAGAAAAGCCATCAAGCCTCTCTTCATCAACCCATGGACCCTCCATGTCCACATCGGGGGAAACTCTTGAGGACAAGTATGACTTACTGTAAAAAATAGACGATTTAAGTCAATAACTCAACTAAATTTTCCAAATATTCCTCCTTGAACCCATATTATCCAAAGTTAACAAATTATATGCATTTTTGTGTTTGTATAAGTGTTTAAAGGGAACTGCACATTTTGTTCAAACATTGTGTTATGCATCAAATAAGACAGTTTTAATGGAAACAGTTTTATTTATCTGACTGTTATATGTCAAAAGGTAGAGGAAAAAATATCTGCATTCACTCACCTACTCAATGTCAGATGGCCTTATCTCCTTTTTTTCCACAGCTCTTAATCTATACTATTCTGGCTTATATCTGTTGTGCTTCAAATGAGAACTGAAACAGGCTTCAGACACTCGTAACAGTCAATCATGGTTTATAATTTTCAGTTATCTTGCCCGACAGATATAATTGTTAATTTTTTTATTTTTTTTTCTATTTTCAGAGACAAAAAGCAAGTGAAATCAAATGTGAGAGAGCATTTTGTCATGACTGACAAGGAGGGCACAGTGTTTCATTTCATCGTGGAGGGCACAGCTATATCTGATGTCACCAAGATACCACCAGAGGTTTTTTTTCGTTTTTGTGCCGGTGTTTAGTGTTGATGCCTGAGCTTATTGTTCCAACCAGAAGTTCAAAGCGTTGTAGATGTCCTAAATGTATTCTCAATTCTGGTGTTTACGTTGAGAAAATAGGCTGGAAATTTCTGTTCACCTTAAAAGATTTCTTTGTCGATCAGCGTTATTCGTATCAATTTACCCCCAAGCGTTCTGAGAAAGGGGTTGTTGTTTTTACATCTTTAAAGCTCCATCTTGTCTCTAGGAAAATAACTTCACTGTGAGATTTTGCACATTAAAGCATGTAAAAACAAAATGTTTGTAATTTAATGGACTTACTTTTTTTATGCACCACAGAGTGGCCTGGCAAAAATTACTGCCCTTGCGTGGAAAGGAGACATCTTGATTTTTGGGGATTCTGAAGGCTTTCAGTGTTTATGGGACTTGAAGGCAAGGATTTCCAGGTAACTTGTGCAAGATCAATAGACATGTTCAACACTTTGTTGTCGTGATATTCAGGCTTTGATAAGATATGAATAAGTTTGCGGTGCTAATCTTATACAGTTTATATGTTGTTCCTTGTAAGTTGAACGATAGTCTAGTCTTTGCATGCCTCAACGATCTTCAAATTCAGTGTTTTATGTCATTGTAGTGAAATATGTACAGCTCAAATTTTGCCACGCAAAGATACTTCTTCTGTTTCTTTTATTAGCACTGTTTAGTTGAGTAAGCAGTTCTGACTTCTCCCTTTCATGCATTCCTCATATAGCAGTGGTGCTATGATTTGATTGTCTTGTATTTATTCCAGAACAACCCCAACAAACAGAGGATGGATCAAGAAGATAAAATATGCCCCTGGTAGAGATAACATGAAGTTCTTTACATTGCATAATGACGGTGTCATCATATGGGACATTGGCTTTGAAGGAAAGGTATAAGCATATACTTATGTTTTGATGACTTAAATTATATTAATAAAGGATATTTTGGTTAGTTTTGTTAATGTTACTTAAATCTTGCCAGTGGCACACTTGTGACCTTAATGGGGTTTTTTAAAAATAGATTGGTATTATTATTCTCCCTGCAGTATAAACTCGTCTTTGGTAATTTTGTTTAACATCTCTGTGCATGCTGGCTATATATAACTTCAATCTAGCTGAAATGCAACTCAATGAATGTTATTCCGTTTCCCAGTGTACAATGCAGTACTCAATCAAAAGTCCCAAAGACATCAGCAAAGTGGTTGACATTGACTGGGCGGGGTCAGACAGGCCCGCCCTGGTCACAACCCACAGCACCCTGCACATCTGTGACATCACCATGAAGTCTGCAACTTCGGGCACAGAACACTGGGACTTGCCAGGTAGGAAAGACATTCATACATATTTAGAAAATATGTCGCACTACTTGTTGAAAAACCTGTGGTTTTTAATGAAATCTCGGAAAAAGAAGAGATTTTGAGGTTCATAAATTCACAAAAGCGTCGAAGCATGTCGTCCGGTATTTTCAACTCTCTGTCCATACAGCCATTCAAATATGCTGTGAGTTTTCTTTTAACTAAGCTAACCAGTTCTGGGACAGAGGGAAGTCATGTGTGGGATGGTATCAATTTCAACAGCTGAATTGATTCAAATAGGTGAAAATGAGTTTCATCATCAAAACAACTAGATCAAGCTCTTAAAAGATTTCGTCAAAAGTTTGTTGCCACTGATCCTTTCGCTTTTCTCTTCTAGAACCCATGTTCTGCCCGCACATCCTGCCGGCCCGTCTGTCCCAGATCATCAAGAGCTTACTGCAGCACCAGACCTGGCGGGAACAGTACACTCTGTCGGTGGCCGGACTGCTGGAGCATGACAAGCCTGTGCAGAAGAGGATCAGCGCTCAGCTACAACTCATTGACAAGTGAGGATGTGTGTTATTTAAGCTTGTGCATCTAACCTTATGTTGTTGAGTTTTCATTTATGTCAAGTCAATTCAATAACTGACACATTTCAACAGGATCAGATTAGAACTAAAAAAAACTCTTAAAAGAGGTAGAAGGAGCGCACCACTCCGTCTAATTACGCACATCTGATCCTCGAGACGTAAGTACTTAAGCTGTATTCTATTGATATATAACCATACATTATGTGTTGTAAATGCAGATACATACACATATTTTGATTTGTTTTACATTCGATTAAGACAATACATATTGCTCTAGGGGAGTGAGTTCTATTTTTAATTTTTTAACTTTTTTTTACATTATAGACAACATATATGAGTGCATTTTCTGACTCACTTATTTGCAATGTATTCTTGTATAAGTGAATTAAGAAGATGGCCAACTTTTGTTTAATTTATGGTGTTTTTTTCCCAGAGAACTGACTGAATACTTACCAGTCTGCAGATTTGGAACTGCTCATAGATGTTTGCTGATTGCAAGGTAAAATTGACTGTTGCGTGGTCAAATGTTTTTCATCCACAACAGAGTAGCACATTTACATAATGCAAATATCATATGTTTTTTTTTTTGTATTCCAGAAGTTTTTTAAACTTAAACCGAAACAAAAGGAGAGTGAAGGTGTGCATATTTTATGAGATCAATTGCATGTTTGATAAATCAAATAGATTTCTGATCTGCTAGTCTGTTGAGGGGATATGAGGTTTGAGATGGAGTTCTTTAACGAAGAATGTCCAGTTTTGTACACAAAGACTAAAGGCTTTTGAGTGAATAGTCAATATTTGGAACTTCAATGTCCCATATCATCCCTCTTTTTTTCTAGCTTTCTCTCTCTATCCTTTCATCCTGCCAGGCTTTATGGTGATGAATCAGAGGTTCATTTCTGGAATGTGGCTCTGCACTATTTGCGATCCCTCAGAGGCCATGGATTGATGAAGGTAGGGCATGTTGAAGAATTTGAATAATCTATACTTTGAATATCTTGTACAGTCAACAGTTATGAACTTGATGTTTGTTCCTTATATAGCGTATTTTCCTAATTTTTCAAAAAGATGGTGTTTCGTCTTCTGACTCGCTATATCAACTACTAAGCTACTGTGTATTTTCTGTGAGAATTGTATTGTTGTCCCATGCCTTGTCTTTGTATTCACAGATTCTACTGGTATCACCACGTGTTCTGTGCCATTAGCTTTAAGATTTTTTTTCTATTAAAGGCACTTCTTTTTTTAGCCCTTAATATGTAGATTATTTTTTTACATTGTTATTCACCTTATGTGCATTCTTTCGCATTGTTTGGTACTGCTATGATAACTGCATTGAAAAATTGAAAGATACGCTATTGTAAGAGGTGATTAATAGACCCAGTGCACAGTGGTGAATTAACTCATAGATCTATAGTTTGATGTGTGATATTCTTTTTATTCTTTGTTTAATTTTTTTTCATTCTTCTTTTTTTCTTCTTTCTTTTTGTTTATCCTTTTTACCATTGAGCCAACTCAACTTTTGAGTACACTTATTTTATTCCAGTAAAGAACAAAACTCATATTAATTAATATTTTGTGTCTCGATGGAACATTTTTTTTGTACTTGTCCCAGCCTGAAGGTGTGGATGCCCCCGGCGGTCAAGGCTCAGGAGAGGTATTCACATCATCCGAGTCTCCAACTCAGGACCTTGTGGTGTTGGATGAGGAGAGAGAAGCTCAAAGGAAAGAAGCGCGAGTGTTCTGTGATCATCCTTTGGAAAGATGCTATGACAGCCTATGTGATAATCAAAGTTTCAAGGTGGGAATCTGTGTAAAGTTTCAGGTGTATTCAAACAAAAGATTCTTTCTTATCAACATTTTGGTTTGTTGTCCAATAAAAAGCTTTTGTGTGCAGTGTAGTCTCTGCTTTGCTTGTGGTTCCTGGCACCCCAAATATGTAAGAGTTAACGCCAAAATAAAAAGGCAATTGCAACTTCTTTAAAGTACCACCAAACAGTGCTAAGTGTCTAAACAAATTTTGAAGGTAGAATGCTTACTTTGTAAAATTTGGTAGCAAATCAAATTTCAGGGTTGATGAAATAAATATAAGAACAGATGTGAATTTCTGAATTGCAGACCTAGAAAAGAGACTTAGTGGGTTCTAAATGCTGCCTATTGCTTTTATTGCTGTTTATTATCATTTTTCTCTTTGTTTTAAGTCGATATGTATGAATATTCGCTGGGTGTGATTCACAGAGATATCAACTTGACCGAGTCCACTTGCAAGACAGTAAGCGTGCAACCACAGAGCACACCCAGAAGTGTGCAGACAGCTATGTCCAGCTTGGTCAGACCGACAGAGCTGTTCAGCTCTTACTGGAGACTGAATCTGAAGCAGACACCTACTACATTGACTGTCTGAAGTGAGCTATAAACTTTTATGCAAATTATTCCGTATGATTTCTTGTCATTGTGTTTAATACCTTAAGATTTTCTTGTCCTAGCATTTGTGCTGGGTGGGGGTGTCAGTGTCTGTATACTTTATCTTTTCACAAACAACTCATAGAAGGCTCTGTCTCTAGAATGTTTAGAGGTTACCTTTTAATTAGGCAAAGTTATCATTCATGACTTCACGTGCATAGGGGATGGACTAATGTTTGCCAGGGGCATGGGTGCATCAAACCTTTTGCTGCTTTATGTATTAAAAGCACACTGAAGAGTTCTCAACATATTTCTGTTTCTTGCTGAACTCTATATGGACTGCTTAATGCAAAACTCTGCCATAGACCATTTTGAAGAGTAACGTTTAACAGAGTCTTACACTGAGCAGCCGATAAATGTAAAGACATTTCTGTTTTCACTGAGACTTTTTATATCCCAAAACCCCCTGCCCATAGATGTGGTGTCATTTGTCATCAAAACATGTCAAATTGAAAGAAATCCTGGATATGGCCCAGGTTTGAGACTTGGAGTAAAGATTAGATGGGATGGCAATATACGCAACTTTACATTCTTACAGCCTACCAGCTGATAATGATACCATTAATTACTGCAACACTAATATCACTTTTCAAAGATTTCTTACAAAGCAACAAGAAATGGGCTTTCCTATTCTGTGAAATTGCCAATTCCAGACTGGCTGTGTGGATCATTTACTTTACTGCTCCTCTTCCTACTTGAGAAATATTTGTGCCTGGGTTTCTTTCATCTTACTTTCGTTTTAACACTTCTTGACATAGTGTTATCATCACAAGGTATTTGTTAGATGTGCGTAAAGGCTCACAGAAAGATTTAAAAGAGATGTAAGTTTGTCACAACATTTACATTATGTGAACGAGGGTTGGGCAGACATTTATAGGGAATATGTCATCGAAATTTGGGATATCTCAAATGCTGGCAGAGTCTCTTACGTCTTTGGAATTACAGGGTCAAGCTCTTGAACATATTAAAAGATTTTTTTTTAAGTGGGAGGGTTATGTTGTTATGTTAACGTCATCTCTCTATTTTGATTCACTACAACTAATATTTCCATGTGTTTTTCAGGGCGTGCTTGGTGGCCAGTGTCAGATCTTCTGGTGCCAGCCAAAGCACGATCAAGCTTGTGGCTACCAACCTTATTGCAAGTGGAAGATTAATTGGTATGTAGCCTCTGAGCTTTGAATTGAATAGGGTTTTTTTTGTATCTGCCATCTATCAGTTTGAATTTTTGTTCTTTTTATTTCCATGTTGTGGTATTTACACAAGTGCTAAGGTTAAGACTTCTGGGCATATTACTGGAGTTGGATATTCAAATTTCAGTCCATTTGTGTTGGGAGAGTCTTTATGGTTTTCCACCTAGCCTTGTGTGAAGTGGATTTTTATCATTTTTATCCCTTTTTCAAGGAAGATTTGCTCCAAAAAGCATGTAATTATTTTAAATTATAGGTTAGTGCATGATCTTTAACTTCAAAGAGAACACTTTTCTCAGTTATGAGCCTCTGCCATTTTTTTCATTGTTCACTCATATATGTAAGTCCTCAAAAATATAACGACTGCGGTTTTATTCCTTAATTGTTTAATTACTTCACAGAGGGTGTACAGCTCCTGTGTCTTATCAACAAAGGCCTGGATGCTTGCAGATATTTACAGACATATGGTGCTTGGGATCATGCTGTTTGGTTGGCAAAGGTAAACCTGAAACTGAAACTTCAAAAATTATGACTGATTAACTTTCCCAGCTGTTTCAGTATCAATCAGAATGTTGCTACTTTGCCTCTGTTTAATTTTATTACAAGGCTTTTTAAGGTATCTTCTTTAGTGTATTATTTCACCATGAATCGGTAATTGAATCAGGTTGAATGTCAGTTAAGCAAAGGTGTCAGTTGATCTGGACTAATCAGGCAATACAGATTTCTGTAGTGTACTGCGTATGAAAATAGTCTTGATACAAGACAATGTGATCTGTAAATTTTGAGTCTCAGCTTGCACATTTTCACAAGGTCTGAAAAGTTCAGAATTTTTTTCATAGCCAGTTGTCACCTCTGGTTAAGGTAGCTGGACAGGTAAATTATAGTTAAGGACATAAAAGTATGGCCATGAGACGAGACTCTTATATGCCTTTTATAATTTGCAGCAAGTCTGTAGGAGCTTCTTTTGAATTCTGAAAGTTATGAATTTGCATTATATTGTCAACCATGTGCCAAATCCTCATGGTTATGGTAACAGAGAATGTTGTTTTCTTATAGGCAAGCCTGGAAGCTGGTGAATGTGCAGAGGTCATGAAGAGGTGGTCAGAGTACTTGAATAGCCCTCAAGTTAATCAGAAGGTAAGTTTTTTTTCTGCAAGTGTGGGGGAAGACATGGTTGCGTTGGTAAGGGTAAAATGAATGGGGAATAGGGGTGTGGGGGGGGAGCGGATGGGTGGAGATAGGGAAGCAAACATTTTTGTGCCTCAGATAGGTCTGCCTGAAAATGTGATGCTTACTCTAAATATTCTTCTCTTCTTCTTAGCTTTTCCAATAGTTGTATGTTGCTTCTCAGACCGCTCTGCAATAAAACACTCTGTGTCTTGCCTTTCTTTTCTGCCCACCTGAGTTGTTTTGGTTCCGAGTCAAGTTATTGAAAACACAGGTGATTTGATTTCAATGATCCATTTCGATTTTATGAAGGCCACCTCTGCGGATTCAGGGATTTTGACAGCTAGAAGTAAAAGTTAAAAAACTCAACAGAGCTGTCAAACTACGATGTGCCCTTGTGTGTCCATTTGTTGACAACTTTCAAATGGACACATTGGTTGATGTGGAATTTGCTCTTAAATTTATTTGAAACCTGTGGAGCTCATGCAGTATAAACAAGGGTGCATTTACCTCTTCATTTTAAATGAGGGAAGCGAGTATAATGTTGACAAAAAATGTAGTTGAATAAAATTACATTACTTTTGAGCTATGCTCTTGTTTATTTGGTGATATTTGAAATGTATGCTCTTCTTCTGTTATTCCTGCAAGTAGTTGGCAGGTGGTCTGCTGTGGTTTACTACTTTTTTCCTATCAAATATCTATTGTTCTAATCTCCTCGCCTCCTTTTTTGTGTTTGATATTCTTTTGTTATGCCTCTAACTTCAGCACCTATATGACCTTATTGTTTTGCAAGTGCTGTAAAACTCTTTCTAAAACAACTATTATTCCTTTTTCCACAGAGCAAGTCGGTGTTGGTGTTGTTGAGCTTGGGCCAGTTTTACAAAGTTCTGGAGGTGCTTTACAGCATGAGGAATTTTGACAGAGCTGCTCTGTTCCTGGAGGCGTGTCTCGAGTTTGGGCTTCTGAGGAGCACAGAGCAGACAAGTAGGAAGACAAGTTTGATTCATACCTCTATTGTGCTTTGTCTTTCCAGACTGTATCTTAACTTTTTTGTCTTACCTTTTTCTTTTTTGTGCTGGTCTGACTATTCCCATAGCTTTTTTTTGTGGCCATTTCTATTTTGTCTCTTTATATATTTAAATGTTACAGGTAGAGTTTGTTTGTAAGACTGAATTTGAGCACAACTGAGAGGGCATTCATACTGAATTTGCTGCTTCAATGATATGACTACTTTTATTAAGTTTGTGCCAAAGAACGCTTTACAAAATCTAAGAAGCTAGTGTTAGATTCAAGCTTTGATGTATCTGTTTTGTGAAATTAAAAATGATTGATACATGTTCATGTTTGTTTTTTATTTCAAGATGTGTTCTTTTGGTCTTTTTCAGGTTCTTTGTTTGAGGCCATATACTTGGAGTATGCTCGTTACTTGATCAACCTTGGATTAAGCCAAGCTGCAGAGCACTACTGTCGACTGGCAGGAGAGAAAGGTCAGCAGCTCTTGAAAGAAGTAGAAATTCTTTTTTCACCAACGTGAATGTGTTAATACCTGCGTCTCACAAAAGGAGTCAAGGAACAGTTCTTGGGACATGTATACCTGTACATTATTATTTTGAGGACCAGCTTAGTATTTCACAATTCCACCCTGTTTGATTGGGTTCAATTCTTTTTTTCATGGCTCATCAAACCCGGCTAATGTTGTACGTCTTTCAGTACTCAGAGACAACAAATGCTTATCTGTTCAAAATGTTATATTTATTGCTGTGTTTTCAAAAAGTTCTAGAAAGATTAGTGTGTTTCTTGCATCATGATTGGAGTTTATGTGGTGCACAGTGTCTTGGCCTTGAGAGTGTGGAAATTACTGAGAAAATTGGTGCTAGCAGAGGACACCCCAAGTTTTCCTTTTATTTACCTTCATTTTTTTTTTTGCGTTTGAGTCATTGCAATATATAGAAGATGAACTGAGCCAGTGCATGCATGTATGCGTGCAAATGCTTTCAGTTGAAAGAGTGCAGTCGTGGATTATTCTCATTTAATAAGACTCATTCTTCAGTTTATGAGCTGTGTTCTTATGTTATATTTCTTTTGTGAGGCCAATGATGAAGTCATTCTTTTTTCAATCATTTTTCTTTCCTTTTCTCGTTCACTCATGTCTTTTTCTTCATTTCTCTTTCTCCTTTTGCTTATCATTGTATATTATACTTTTTTGTAGGCTATTATATTTCTTTGTAATTCCATGCCAGCTTCAACAAATTTATTGACTTGGCTAAATTTGAATTATTATTTCAGAGATGAATGAAGTGTTATAAAAGGGTATATATGTAGCCTGACAGTGTATTAGTATGAGCATTCTATATAATAAGAAATGAACTCATATTTGTTCTGTTTTTGATTACTGCTGCTTTGTGGGAACCAATAAATGTTTGATGAACAGTCCCTTCACTGTTATATATTGCCTGTGGCTGTGGAAAAGTAAATCGTCTTTGCTTTTTGATGAATGCTTGGAGTTGAAGTGTGAGCTTGTTGTCAGTGATATTTTCTTCACAATTTTTGTTATTGTCATACAGCCTCTGTATACAAAGTTTAATGTGCAATACAGTTTTTCATGTCATAATGAATGCTAGCAATGCCAATCTGCGAATATCACAAATTAGTCCCTATACTTCTAATGTGCATTATTTTTTAAGGGATGAATTGATATAACCAATTGGGATGGGGTTTTGTTGTTATTGTTGTTTTGTTTTGTTTTTTATTGATTTCCAAGATGCCCCCTAATTACTCTGTTTAACTTGCCTTTCACTGTTATTCAATTATCAGTTTGCTAGAGATAATTATTTCTCACCTTCTTGATTTGACATTTTATTTCATGTTGAGCAATTTAACTGGTCACCAGTTCCTGTTGTCTGTCTCTCCATTTGGTGAGTTCAGAGAGCCCAGTAGGACTATGATTGAAGCAGGTGGTTAAGGGATTTTTGGCTGCCATCTAGAGATTTAGCAAGCACAGGGAAAGTTGCATGATCTCTTTCATTTTGGCAGAGTTTGCTCCGTGGTCAAAACCATGACTCAAAGATTGGTAAGTTGTCATGTGGCACTGTACATGGATTCACAGCCCCCCCCCCCCTCCCCAAATTTAAAAAAGTAAAAGTTTTGTAGCAACTTTTGAAACTGCCCAGCTACTTGTTGAATTCTGCTTCTTTTCTTCGCCTATTTGGAAAGCTCCAGGCTGGTAGGCTTTTATTAATTTCACTGGACAAGGGTGCAAAATTGACTGTTCCAACTATATTATATCCTGACAGCATTTCATGCCAGTTTAAAAAAAGAAAAGAAAGGGGAAAAAAAACACACACACTCGAGACACACACGCACGCACACTCACACACACACACACACACACACACACACACACACACACACAAACACGCACACACAAACACACAAACACACACATACACACCCATGCACACTTATAAATACAGACATATACTGATGTATTCTTTTCAACCTGTATGGTATATTTTTACTTTATTGAATAACTTTATATAACAAGCTTGTGAACTTTTATAGATGATTGATAAATGATGACTGTCCCAAAGAAGTCTGTTCTTCTGTTGGGATGATTTCTGACTTCATAGGTATTTTCGCATGCTGATGTGGGTAGATTTTGCATTTTTCTGACCCACAGTGCTTTTGAAACAAACATTTGCATTCCACTTTCTTTTCCTCTTTTCATAATTTGTCTTTCATAAAAGCTTGAACATTTTGCACTTTAGACCACCGAGCATTAACAACTGTGCTTTAAAATGAGGATATTAAAAATTTTAGGGTGTTGAATGCTAAATGGATACTTCTTTCCGTACAATCCAGAATATAGCATTATTATGTATGCATGTACATTTTATGTTAAACAGTTTTGCATATGACTCACCTATGCTTAAGTAGCCTACGCATCCTGAGAGGGCTATACCAACAACAGGATTGCAGCTGTTGCTATATATATATATATATACTCTTTGATGTTCAATTTTGTATTTTTTGAGTGATTGGTAACTGCATTGTTGGAGGTCATCGGGTACTGTTGTGATTGTAAGGATACATTCCTTTTCAAATTGATCATTCATATATTGGAATACAAGGTTGCATCCTTTAAGTTTAAGCGATTATGCTTAGCTCTAAGCTCTGACCATGTTTGGCTTGTTGAAGTTTCTGTTGGGGTTTCTTTGTTTTTGGGGGGGAAAAGGCGAGGGAGGAAAAGTCCACAAAAGCTTAATACAAACTATTTTGATGATTTGAAACTTGATAATTGATTCCAGTGATGTTTATCTTTTTGCCATGCATGATGCAGTGCAGTCAGCTTTTTGCAAGATGTTCCAAATTTTGATGTTTTGAATTGGTACATACCACCATGTAATATCTTGGTCCGATCAGCCATCCATATGGTGTAAATGTGATGGGCAACATGTATCCATTGAGTTTGAGTTTTCATTAGGACATTTTAAAGAAAACTTTTAATACTTTATTTCCATACCTGTTTCCAGGGTATTTGGTAAAAATTTTCATATAGCCTCTTTAAACAAACAAAATGTTGTGCCTACCTCTTGATCCAGTCGGAAGGACAACTTCTCCTTTTTTAATAAAGCTTTGTTGAATGTGGAATATTCTCTGACTACAAGTCAACATTTACTTTCAAAATGGAACCAATAGTAATTGTGTGATAATGTATTGTGATTGTTTTGTAAAACATACATCATGTTATGTAGAGATGCCCAAGACTTCATGTTATTATTGCCTGTGCTAATAAAGCATTTGTGCTAATAAAGCATTGAAATGTTAACCCATTGATTCTGTTTCCTTATTTCCACTTTTTTTGTTACTGGAACTTTGTTTGATTCGATTGGTTTTCATGAACTCCTGAATTATTTTTTTTTCAAATTCATACCTGGTACAGCGAAGTGTGTTATTAGGTTGTACCAGGTCTCGTTTCACCTACTTAGCCACTACTAGATGGTGTGTTCTGGAGTTGTTTTTTTCGTCAAGTATTAGCCTGAAATTTCTTCTTTTTTTTTAGTTTAAAAGATTGAATGATCATAATAAATCATTCCATAATGATTTACTTTATTTAATGTGCAAACATATCAAGAGAAAAGATAGAAGACAAAGGTCATATAATATTGAAAAGTTGTAAGACCTTCCAGAAAAACTTCTTCCGCCACTCATGATTTTATTTTTAAAATTAATTTTATTTAGCAATTTTTTATAACATGATATTTGTGCACATGTCTTTAAATCCCATAATGTGAAAGGATCAACAATCAACAGGTCAGTTCACTGGTAAGGTTCCTTGTTTGCTCCAGGAAAGACTAAACACAGGTATCTGTGGTGTAGGGGCTAGGCGCTTCTCCATCGCATGCAGGAGACCCAAGTTTGATTCCCAAATGGGAAGAAATTTGTTCTTGAGCTTCTCATTCTTTCTGCTTGGATGTTGTATCCATCTCTGCTCAGGTTGACTCTGACAGGCAGGGTTGGAAGCCCCCCTCCTAAATGATCTAGATTGTGTCAATGGGGGTGTACAGTACAAACACCTACATTTAAAAAAAAAAGAGAGAGAGAGAGAGAACTAAACAATGCTATACTACTGTAAGTTAACAAACCGTTATGTCAAGCATTCTCGCTTAAAACACAAAGGATAGAACAATGTCTGAGCTGGATTTGTACAAAATTCCTAATCGTATCATAGATAGAAGGAGTATATATAGCGGGATAAATAAAGGAGTCTTCAATTGATCTTGTTGTATCGTCATTAGTCGCGTGGCTTTCTGTGGAAGAACATATAGGCTACTATGATTTGACTCTTGAGTCACAAATGATTTAGGGACGTGGGTGGTTGGCATATGCCCTGGTGTGGTTTGCTTCTTCTTTCCTATCAAAGTGTGTGGTTGGCGGGTGCTCTGGTGTGGTTTGCTCCTTCTTTCCTATCAAACATCTATCGTCCTTTTCTCTCCTCCTTTTTTTGTGTATGTTACTCTCTTGTAACACGTCTATTCTTCAGCACTTATATGACCTTATTGTGTTGCAAGTGCCGTAAAATGCTTACTAAAACATTTCCTATCGAACATCTATCGTCCTTATCTCCCTTTCTTTTTTATGAAGGTTACTCTCTTGTAACACCTCTAATCTTCTGGCGCTCATATGACCTTATGTAGTTGCGAGCGCCGTAAAACCTCTACTAAAACAGAACAAAACAAAAGATTTAGGGACGTGGGCCATGAATGAATTGACTCATACTGGCTAGATGAAACATGAGCCATAAAACATTCATGACTTTTATCAAGTCATAGACCTTGCTTCATTCAACCTCTTTCTTTCTTTCTGTCTCTCATGTTCAAGTGTTTGTGTTCTTTAAGAAAGCAGCAGGTCAGCTCTCACTGCTTGGATTGAATAGTCCATTATGTTAAGACATTTCAAAATGAAACCGTTGGATATTGCTTAACAACTAGCGATCAATCTATGCAAGAGGGCACTCTCAAGTAGTGCTGTAACTAGAATGTACATTCAACTTGGTCCGCAAAATACATACCACCC